GGAGAGAGGGTTGGGGGGCAAGGACAAGGAGGAGAATCCCCAGGTCAGCCCCGCCCTCGCTGCACCCACACCCTCTCCCCAGTGTGCGGCGGGCTGAGCGCGCGGGCCCCAGGGACTCACCGAGCCGGCTCCGGCGGATCTCCTCGGGTGAGACAGGCCGCAGCTTCCTTTCCGCCTTGATCTCCTCTAAGATTCTCTCATGGAGGCTCTGTGGCCGGGGAGGGGTGGGCTTCAGTTTTCTGGCTGAGACCTTGAAGAGAGCATGGTGGCCAGGACATGAGCGTTTGTTCTGAACAGACAACGCCGTAAGCTGCTTACTGTCACTCTTCCAGGTCACAGCCAGGGCGGTCGGGGTGACAGGCCCCAGGTCTCACAGCACTCAGACACGTGTCCACCGACACGGGGCCACCCGAGGGCTCGGCTGCACTCCCGCGGCAGCCTACGCGCCGCACGGCAGTGTCCTCGTGCCACCTGTGAGCTGACCGCGGTGGGAAGTGAGCTGCAGCCTTCTCAGATTTCCCTCGTTCTCCGCTTGAGGAAAGAAAGGCTCGGGAAGCAGATTCACTTGCTCAGAGGGTAAGACCTGCCTTCCTGAAACAAGCTGATGCTGGTTCCTTTCCTTCTTTCAAAAACATTTACACGTGGCTGATGAAGTGTGCTTCAGATGTACACAAACAGGAAAACACCAGTCCTTTACTGTTATGTTACACAAAGGTCTGGGGAGAGCCGGCTATCAAGAGTGTGTGTAGGGGGGTAAAAAACAGAGAAAATGGCAGACATGGTGGCATGTGCCGGTCACCCCACACTTGGGGAGGCTGAGGCACAAAGTCGACAAATTCAAGCCCAGGCAGGGCAACTTACCAAGACCCTTTCTCAAAAAAAAAAAAAAGAAAAAAAGTCTGGGGATGCAGCTTGGGAAAACCGGCTTAGAATGTTGTGAGTCCACAGTTCCTAGGAAGACCTCATTAAAACGTAACAGGGGCGTAGGGCCAGGTGGCCTGTCACAGCACCGTGAGGCAGGAAGGCAGCCCCCTGGAGCCACTGGTGGGTGCCGTGTCCAGCTGTCACGCTGGGGCTGTCCAGCCAGACCGTACACCCACTCTTTTAGTTAGGATAAAAACGCCCTAGGACTGCCACAGACTGGACAATCTTAAGGGTTTTTTTCTGAAACAACACAGCTTGCAGGCGGGCTTCACAGTGCTTAGAATAAAAGGCTCAGAGGAAAGGAAGCCCTGCACTCGGGTGTTATGGTTGATACATTGTGTCAACTTGGGAAGTCTTAAAGCTTAACTTACTAACTCAACAGCTACTTAGTTAGTTCTGCATCCTAGGGTGCAGAAGACGTGCCATAGGGCTGTTTATGATCTAGGATGGCTGATTCATTGTGTCAACCTGAGTTCAGAAGTTTAACTGACTCAGCAGGGGTCCAATGTCCTCACTTTGTAAACATCCTGAGCCTGTACAAAAGGAGGGCACAGAGATGATGTGAGGGCTACATCCGGCCTAGGGCGGGTAGGCTGCTTACACTATAAGGCAGCAAAAGAGGCTTGTTCTCCCCTCATTTTGCTCTTGTTGCTGTTGCTGTCCTCCACTGCCATGAACTGTAGCCCCTGTGCCATGTGCCACCCTGCCTTGGAGCCAGCGAATATGGACTGAGACCTCCACAATCTGTGAGCTAAATTAGCCTTTCCTTCCTTAACTTTGGGTGTCAGATATTTTGTCCCAGCGACAAGGGGAAAGGTAACTAAGACAGAAGCTGAGCCCTAGAGGACAATGCGCGCATCGTGTACCGGATTGAGCGGCGGCCGGGACCGGATGAAGTCGAGGATGATCTCGTGGGCACTCTTCTTTAACCTCGGGGGAATGTCCCCATTCACCTAGGAGACAGAAGCACAAGAGCTGTGTGATTGTGGCAGCACCACGGCACGCGGCAGTGTGGTCCAGGTCCACCAAGGAAGTGGAGAAGGAGGAAAACAGCTGTGGATCCACCTTCAGTGTAGTTCCATCATTTGCAGAATTATACATGATACATGTTCCTTCCACCAAAGATTCCTGAAATTAAGAATGGGAGTGAAGGAAATAATCCCCATGTTCACCACGTATTTCCTACTGTAAAGAGCCCTCTGCCATTTCCATCCGTGTAAAATGGAAGACACAGGTGACAGAGGGGCTGGCAGGACTGGGCTCTTCTGGGCCGGTCAGTGCGTGGTGCAAGTGAGGACAGTGATGGTGCAGCCGCGCCTGCTCTGCTTCTACTCTGATGTCCTCCCCTTTTAAAGCTGTGTGCTAAAGGAATTCTTTTAGCAATATAAAAAAAAATCCCTAGAAAGCCACAAAAAATCTCCGCCTCCACCCACATGCTACAACCCACCATGTACAGCTGTGGCACTGTGACGGATTTGTATCCTGGTCTGGTCTGAGCAAAACAGAAGCGGAACTGCTGATGCTGGCCTTCCTCCTGGCAAGCCTGCGGGGCCCAGTCCCACAGACAGGAGGGGTACTATGCCCAAGCCAGTACCTGACCATCCAGGTGTGAGGTGGCCAGGACCAACCCAGAGCAGAGGCCGAGGCTGGCACCGCCCACCCGTGGAGCCCAAGACGTAGAACTAAAAATCCTTCTGCATGAAGCAGAGCAGCCAGACTTCCCTATCGCCCTGTGCAGAATCCACCTCTCTCCAGCTGACTTCTGTATGCCTTTACTCGGATGTCCTTTGCATCTCAGGGCAGCAGGGTAGAGGCCCACGTGCAGGTCAACGCACCCAACTGTCAGGGCCCGGTCCCGGTCCCCAGCAGATGTGGATGGGAGGAGGAGCATGGGGGTCACCTGCCCAGCCAGCGAGGCCGGTGAGGTGCTGTCACTCTAGCTGTCCCCCTCCCTGTGCTAGGGTCACAGAAGGCTCCATACCCAGGTCTTAGAGACCAACCTTCCCATGACAGTAACACTGTGATGTGTTTCCCTGTGTGCTCTTGTGGAGCCTGTCTTTGTGTGTGTGTGTGTACGTGCACGTGTGCACACGCACTGATTTGTACATGCATGTGTGTGTACGTACATGCATGGTGCCAGGGATGGAACCTGGGCCCTCATTCATGCTGGGCAAGCTCTCATGGACAGCTGGACCCCCAGGGCACAGATGGCCATGACAGAAGCGGAGCAGGCAGCCGCATGTCACAGTCCGGGAGCCCAACACAGGCAGGCCTCACTCACTCCACTGTGCCCATCTGGACGGGAGGGGTTGGCTGGGGACAGCAGGGGCGCCACTGGGCTTGACGTGAATGTGCGAGGCACGCTCCGCCTCTGCAATCTCAATGCAAGGCCTCCACTGTGTCTGCAAAGACTTGCAAGTGGGCGGAGGACCGCAGTGCCCTAACCACGCACGGACGGGTCACACAGCGAACTCGGTAGAGCCGTAGCTAGAAAAGATGCAGCCCTTTAAAGTCAGGTTGAGTATAATGACGTGGAAAAAATACTCACAATACACTGAACAAAAGTAACTGGTTACAATGCACAATTAGCCCGTGTTTCATCTAAATTAAATGCACAGCACAAACGACTGAGGGTTAGACCCAAGATGCTCACAAATTTCTCTTTGGGTGGTGGGAAAAGGTGTTTGGACCTTTCCTCCTTTGAGCTCTGAGTATTTTCCAGATCTTCCAGAGCAATCAAGTATAGCGGTCCTGGGAGAAATACCCTAACACCACGCAGAGACGCGGCTGCCCGCCCCACTCACCATCACTCTGCGCAGGGTGTAGCGCCGGCAGCGGATGTCCTGCATCAGCATCTCGTAGGGCGTGAGCTGGTACTCAATGGGCAGTGGGTTGTACTGCCGCTCCTGCACCTTCTTCAGCTTCACCCCATTGCGCAAGTCCCTCATCACCTGGACCCAGAAGCGCGCCTGAAGGAGCCAACGGGGAGAGTCTGTGAACGCCCTGAGGTCACACAGGAGGAGGGGCTGGGGCATCCGCGCAGCAAGACCAGAGCCCTAGTTCGGAGTACAGAGAGCTGTGCGAAGGTCAGCTGAGAACGACCAGCCTCTGAGGCAGCAGCTGCGCAGGGACACAGCTCCTGTGTCCATGACTGCTCTGTCTGTCTCTCACCCCCAGTCAGGGTTTGGCCCATAGCCGGCGTGCTAGGACCATCAGCTTCAAAAGCACCCGTAGAAGGGCCTGGTTCTGTCTGCCCTGAGCCAGGAACGGGGCCGGCCTCACTGGGGGAGGATGGGTCATGGAGTGGCACAGCCCCGGCTTGCACGGGTGCTGTGCCGAGTGCTCTGGGACTGCACGGTGCTGCGGGCGTGGCTGCCACGTGACTGGTCGCCATCTGGCTCCAGCGGCTGCACCCTGCCCGAGCCCTGGCTTTCTCACCAGGAGGGGAAAACGAGACTTCACTGAGATCAGTGACTATAGTGCTCTGCACAAGAAAATGCTCAAAAATGACAATTTTTATGGCATCTTTGCACACATTTTAATGTCTTCTTATCTACAAATACTAAGCTGCCTTGTCCACCTTCAAGAGTCCTGAGAATAAGGTGAGACATACGAGCAAGAATTTGCTGTGTGCACTACTGTCCTTTAAGCGTCTGTTCACCTGCCTCCGGTTCAGTGAGGTCAATGCCATGTTCATTAACATACTCTAGCTTACAGAAGTTAAGGTGCCTCAGCTAGCTAAATGTATTCATTATAAAATCAAGGGAGGTATAAGAATCTTCTACTCAGATGGGTTGGGGTGCAGCTCAGTGGCACAGCATGTGCTTAGCATGCGCAAGGCCCTGGGTTTAATCTCTGGCATCAAAAAAAAAAAGTGTTTATTTGTATATAAAATAACTGGTTAAATTTTTCAAAAATGTCCTTGATAACAATTGGGATTTTTAAAACAGATAATGCCATTTCTCATTCATTCTCTTTTTCCAAAAGGATTTGAGCTACTCGGCATTGGGTCCATTGGAGTACCTTCTCAAATCTTCGTATTCCTAGAGATCCTTGGACTCTGCCACGAATGATGTTCTGGTGTAAGAGCCGCAGAATACCTGCCTTTCTTGCTTTGGGGTGCCCCTGTGCCAGCTCCTCACTCCTTTTGTTCAGCCGAGACTCAGTTCAAACCCCACCTCACTTTTAAAGCTGTTTCTTCTGTTCACTTCCTCAGCTTGAGGAACCCCAGGAATGAAGCCTGAGTTTACCAGCACAGATCCGAAGACGGCTCCTCACACCCAGCGCTCACTGCCGCTACCATTGTGACCCAGAGCCTTATGCTGCTGAGTGCTCTGACACGAACTGCACCCCCAGCCCAATTCTGCTACAATTTACGGAAGCCGTGAAACAAGTCTGACACAGCCGTTGTCTGTGCATCATTGCTTGGCTAAGTCTTACTACTTTTCAGAAACTAAGGCCAAGGTTATATAAAGTACTACACAGTGTCATCACGTGAGACTTTACCATTCACCCCGCGCTCCCCTCAGGAAACCTGAGCCCCACAGCCCGTCGCTAAGGGTGTTCTAACAGTCCCTTCCTTCCTCTTCCATCTCCTCTCCTCCAGTGCTGCCCTGCATGTCCTCACAGAGGAAGGCGGCAGCGGGAATCGTCCTCTTGAGCACCATCACCCTCCTCAGAGCTGCGACCATGGGCTAGAGATTCTGCTTCTACTACACGAGCTGTGTGCTAACTTCTGAACACCTATGCTACTTTTTTGGCCTCCGTGACAGGAAGAGTGATGCAAATGCTATTAGCTAGGATGAGTAAACCTCGAGCAGCAGCATCAGTATGCTATACAGAAGTAAACCAATAACCAACATTATTCTGAGATGACAATACTATCTGCTAATTCAATACAACTTGTTTAATGTTACTCTTAAATGCTCCCAATTAACACCAGCATATCTCAGTATATACACCAATCAATAAAGAATACCGCAGACAGGAAACAAATCGTTATCACAGATGAATAAACTGTAATATATCCATCGGCGTGTGCACATGTGTGTATGTTGCATACACACACGTGTCAAAACTTATGACTATAAATGTGCTTCTCTTCTTTGCAGTGCTGGGATGGAACCCAGGGCCTCAGGCATCAAACTATGTCTTAACACCTACAGCTTCCTGCACCCGTTCCACCCCTCAACAGAGACGAGAAAGGAACGTGGCAAACAATGAAAATCTAACACGGTCCAAAGTGACCTGCCTGCATCCTCCAGCCCGAGCCTATTCCTGGATTCCCTTGGTTTATGATGTCATTCCGGATCCAGTACCCTTAGCCTAAGAAGTCAAAATCCTCCAGTGTGTCTCCCCGCTCCCTGGACAGTCCCATCTGACATCCTGCCACAGTTGTTGCCCTGTCCCCAAGCCTCTCGTGACCACCAGAACAGGGTCACTTGGTGTCACTGGGACCTACGCCCACGCAGGAGACAGTGTCCCCTGCCTACACGTCTGTCTTCTCCTCAGCCCTGCAGCCCTGAAGGCAGAGACTCCATACTTTTCACCCGAAGGACCTTGAAGCAACTCCTAGCCCTTGGGCAGACGAATGTCCCACACTAGTTCTATACTTCATTCTGAAAAACAGCTTTACCTCAAGTACGTGCAAGGATATGCAAAGGTATTAAAATAATTACAAATGCTAATACTTACAATACCAAAATTCTCAGAGACATTGGGTAGTTCTAATAAAATAAGAAAGCTTTAAAAGTGGGCCTGATACGTCCTGGTATCTAAGACTAAGCACTCAGATTCCTCTGCCTATCCCTCCGTGGCTCTCGGGAACAGCGCTTGTGAGGCGCCTCACCCAGTCCGCGTTCTTCAGCTCCTCCAGGTCGGCGCGGGACTCGTCACTCTGGTCCATCTCCTGGATCCTCTTAAGGTTCTGCCAGGAGAAAGAAAAAGAAAACAGGCATGAGAGCACTCTTATCAAAATGAGCTGACGTGCAAACCTCCAACAGGGACCTAGAGCTTGAACACACTCAGACGTGCTGCGGTGGCAAGCAGGAACACCAAAGGACACCCCAGGCTTGGAGGCATCATTCCCTGAGCATCAGGCCCTGATCTCTGGGCGTCTAGGGCTTATTCGGGATACGCAGGCAGGAGGCAAGCAGAACGGCTTGTCGGCTGGGGCTTGGTTTACACAGTGTGCCTCACAGTGACCAGCTGCTTCTAAGAGGTGGGAGCCACCAGATGGGGACCTGGAACTGTTACCTGGGCAACTGACAAGCTGAAGTACATGGGCTGGGGGCCGTTTTCTCTTACAGTACCCCGAAGGAGACGCCTCTGAATTCCACAGCTGGTTCTCGTGGCATCTCTGGGGACAGACTGAGACAGCCCTGGGGCTGACTTCAGTCACAGCGCTGGCGACAGCACATCGGCCCCAAGCCCTACAAATCTCACAGAGGGTCCTTACACAGCGCCCTCAGTCCTCGCCCGCAGCCTGAAGAAATCCCCCTTCCTGTCCTCCCAGCGTGGCCCACCCTGGCCACAGGCCTCTCCACGGCCTCCCCACCTCAGGGCTCCTCACTGCAGTGCCCCCAGGCTCCCCATTGCATCTCCAGGAGCAACCACAGCTTTGCACTCTCCAGTTTCAAGTTAGTGAACAAATTTTAACTAATAAAACACCTTTTTTTTCATTTTTCCGTAGTATTTTTTTTCAATAGCACCATCAAAGCAACAGCTTCTTTTGTATCACAAGGGTTTTTCCTTACACCCAGTCCGTCCCCATTTTACTTGGGCTGTCCTTTCAAGCACTGACTAGATAGATTTCCCTTTAACTGAAAGCTTATCTTCCCCACAAAAACTAAACGGAAGTACATTCAAACTGAACACAGAGGGGCTGGGAATTTAGCTCAGTGGCAAAGCACCTCCCTGGCAAACGCAAGGTCGTGAGTTAGATTCCTGAAACTGGAAGAAAAACAAACAAACAAACAAACAAACAAAACTGAACACAGAAAACACCTTTTAATTACATCAACTCAACATCTGCAACCACAAGAAATCCTGACTGGTAAAACCTACGTGCACATGTTAATTATAAATTTATGATACCCCATTCCTCCACATAGTAATTTGACCTCTGTATATTTTAATCTGTGCTGAGCTGTTTCCTGCTTGGACTCAGACTAAATTAATATGTACTGTATGAAATCCACCCTGTTTTATATAAGAAAGTGAAATATTTCTAAGTCATTTATTTTTAGCTTTTTAACATCTCCTATTAGCCATCTGTACAATGACAACAATACTACCTGCTTTTTTGTTCCGAATAATATAAAGAAATGTTAACACAAAAAGTGAAATTACTCTGAACATGTAAAAAAACTACAGTCTAAATAATGCATTATTTGTTCTCTCGCTGGAGAAAAAGTTAGAAATAGAAAGTATTTGTGGATATATATATATTTTTTGTACTGAGACTCAAACACAGGACCTTGTGCTTGCTAGGCAGGTGCTATGCTGCTGAGCTATAGCCTCAGCTCCAATTTCTGGATATTTCAGAATGTGTTCACACACCCATTTTAAAAGGAAAAATCCAAGCTGGGCATGGTGGCACACACCTGTAGTCCTAGTACCCAGGAGGCTGAGGCAGGAGGATCGTTGTGAATTCGAGACCAGCCTGAACTGCATAGCAAGACCCTGTCCCAAAAAGACAAAAACAAAAAAAAAAAACAAAAAAACGGAAAAGCCCAGTTTCTTGGTGCAGGCAACGCACCCGGTCTGCAGCCTTGTCCAGAGCCGCTGTCCACTGCCGAGGAATGAGTGCTCTGCTCGCTCTGCACGGCCATGCTTTGAGTGCTGATGTGAACCTCGCTCGTGTGCACCCCGCTCGGCACAGGGAGGCCTGTGACCACCCCTTCCTCTCCTATACGTGCACCACAACCCTTCAGAGCCCTGGCGGATGGGAGATGCGGACCTGGTTCCCTCCACCCAGCTCTCCAGGGCCCAGCACTGGTCCTGCCCACCGTGCTGCTGGGCAGCAGCAGCCCTCACCAGGCGAAGCCACCACCGTCAACCCAACCATAACCCTGTCAGGGGAGCCGCGGCTCAGAACGGCTGAAGAGCACTGCTGGCTCCCTGCGGGTGGGAGCAGACCGAAGATGAGGACACAGGGGCTGGGGATTTAGCTCGGCGGCAAAGCGCCTGCCTGGCAAGCGTGAGGTCATGAGTTCGACTCCCAGTACCAGAAAAAAAAAAAAAGATGAGGACACAGCAGATAGGAGGACTCAAAAGACAGGGTGCCCCTGGCTCTGGGACGCGGCAGGCACCAGGGGGCGCGAAGAGACCACCGGCCCCAGGGCTCTGATCGCCTCAGAAACAGCTGGGCAGATCTACTTCATGCCGCTCAAGTGAGCTCCCACAGATCTCTACGGACGTCGATACACACAAGGGAAGAACAGAATCAACGCCTGGAGCTGACTGCAGGTGGAGGGTACCGACCCTGGCGCTCAGGAATCAACGCCTGGAGCTGACTGCAGGTGGAGGGTACCGGCCCTGGCGCTCAGGAATCAACGCCTGGAGCAGACTGCAGATGGAGGGTACCGGCCCTGGCGCTCAGGAATCAACGCCTGGAGCAGACTGCAGATGGAGGGTACCGGCCCTGGCGCTCAGGGTCACTACGCCAGGGCTCTGCATTTTCCACCTGTTAGACTTACACACACGATGTCTGACGTTCGAAGTCCGGATGAGCTATCTTTCTAAAAGTCTCAGGAAACTGTCGTCCGGCCCCACCCTCAATCTCCACGCAGCGTCTGGGTCAGAGCTGGGGAGGGACCGCGTCCGAGGGCAGATGTCTGCTCCGCTCGTCTCGTCGTGGGACCCAAGCTCCCCCAGGAAAGCAGGGCTGGAAGGCTGTCATTCTATGACTGCAGGAGCTCGTAGCTTTGGGAGAAAAGGTCTGAGGTGACCCTGCAGGGAGGACTACCCGACCACGCCACCCACGCCTGCCGCAGCAACTCCCTCTCCGCCCTTCCCCAGTGCACACCCACATGCTCGCTCACCCCGGTGTGCACGGCTGCCTCCCCACAGGAGAAGCCCTACTGTGCCCACTTTCTGGGGCGTGCCCAGGTCTCCAGGACAGGCCTCCCAGTGACCGCACATGGTCAATAAGCACATAAAGACATTCCACCACAAGTGTTTAAAGCCTCAGTCTCTTCAACAGAGCTTTTGAAAAGGAAGCATAACCAGAGGGAAAGTTGTTGAGAAGGAAGCTGGCATCTTCTCTAAATCCCAAATCCTCCGGCACTTGGGCAGACCCTGCACCTGAGCTGCTCAGCAGCATACACTCCGGTTAGAACACCAGCCCCTCACATCCACACCAGCAGCTCCATGCCACGGTCAGCTGGCAGACGGTACGATTACTAATAAATACAAGTGAAAGGGACAAGAAATGCATCCCAAATACCCTGGAGAAGACATGAAGTAACTCAGAACCGGACAAGTCAACAAGCTCAGCAGCATCACAAGCTGTGCAGTGGCCGTGTGCAGGGCCCAGGGCCAGCTCCCCACATGCCCGCAGCCATGCGCTGCCCGCCCTGTGTCCTATCACCCCACAGCGAGCTCTAAGGTTCCCAACCACCCAGAAAACAAAAAGGCTGAAAGCGGAGACCACACCCATCTCTGTAATGCTATGAACAATTCCAACGGCCTCCGGGAGCCAACAGGCTTTGGGGTCAGCTGTTCTCCCCTCCTATCTGTGATACAGTCATGTGTTCTCACAGCAACACACCCCACAGGCTCAAGTACCTGCCCCAGCTCCCCGGAGTGAGGACACGGCCAGCCCAGCCCCCACTGGTCCCCAAGACACAAGGGCATACCTCACTCCGAGGCCTCAGCCCTAACCACCCAAGAGACCTCAGCAGAGCTACAGACTGGGGGTTCCCGCGGGGCAGAGGCCCCAGCACAGCTGGGCCCATGGACCCCCAGTCACAGGAGCCAAAACCCCTCGCCACCCCCTGCTGCTCTGAGGGAGACTCTGTCATTACAACTCAAAGCTATGGTTTAATTTCTCAGCATAAGCTCCGAAATGTGTTCACGCTTCCCTGAGTACGTGATATGGTCCTTTGGTGGGACAGCATGACAAGCAACGAATAGACTCACTCCAGACTCTTGCTTCCAAGTCAGCACAACGTGGCCTCTCTTCCATCCCAGTGTAATTCTGCTTTTCTTAAACCACCCGGCTGAGCCCCGGCCTCTACACATCTCTACTTTTTCTTGAACTATCTGTTCCTCACGGTACTGAGACAGTTTAGAGGAGTGGCCCAAGATGTCCTGTTTATTCTTCTGAGCAGCAGTACAGGTGTATCAGCGGAGTGTTTCTGGGTTGCTCTAGTCCTCGACCGATGTTCTCATCTCTACGGTGCAGAGCAGTCACTGCCTTTACAGCTCTGTTACTCTTACATGAACTCAGCACGAGCCAGGTCACGCTAAGATTTACTGGAGTGCAGACACTGCACACCAGTGAACACCTCTAAGGGTTTGACTGTGACCACGTTTACTCCACTGCAGATATTTTAACCTTACCAAGTCTATTTTTACCAAACAATATCCCTCTCCAGGGATGAAATCAAATCCTAATTCAGCAACAGATCAATGTAGAATAGTTGAGAACCAATAAATACCAAAATTAAACAAGCTCAATTAAATATGTGACTAGAAAGCTCAGGGTTTTTGTTAACAGAAAAAGCAAATGAGTTATTTGGAAGTAATTACACATTTTTCTGGTTTGGGAGACAAACTTCTGTGAATTCTATTTCAGTGTCTGACTGAAGTTCTGCTTGCACAAATGTAGTAACAGACGCCAGCGGGCTGCAGCGGGGCGGGCAGGCCCTGACTGAGGCCAGGCGGCAACCAGCTCCACGTCCGACAGGGCTCCTCTGCCAG